ATAAAAATTTATAATTTTAATATTATTAATATTATAAAATTTTTTTACTAAAGTTTAAAAAATAAATAAAATAAAAAAAAATAACTTAAATTAATTATAAAAAAGAAAATATAAATTAGTTAAATTATTACTAAGTAAAAGAATTATTAAAGTATTATTAATTAATAATTATTAAATAAAAACTTAATAATAATTATTATAATAACTTAATTATTAAAGTTTTTATAATATAATAATATATACTTAAAGGTTTTATAATATTTCTTTAAGTATTTATAAAATAATTAATTTAAATTTAATTAAAAAACTTTATATTAATAAATTAATTATTTTACTTATTAAATAATTAAAATACTATAATACTTAAATTCTTAAGCTAAATTTAATAATTATTACCTAAAGTTAATATATAATTAAGTTATATTTTATATAATAATAAAAACCTAACTTAATAATATTAAATTAAGGTTATTATTTAATATAAAAGCTACTATTACTTAAGATATATTTAAGAAATTAAGTTAATAAGCTTTTTTTATAATAAAAGGTTATTATAAAAATATAAAGTATTAAATATAATTTATAATAATTATAAATTAATTAATATTATTTATTTAATTAATAAATAATTTTTTTAAAAAGTTAAAAATAAAGTAAATTTAAATTATTATAATTATAAATTATAATAAAATATAAATTATTATAATAATAAAAATAAAATATAAAGGTTTTTATTTTAATAATAAATATAAGTTTTTTATAAAAGGGTTTTTTTTATTATAAAAAAATATATAAAAAAATTAAAAATAATTATTATTAATTAATTAATTATTTAAAGTAATATTATTATTATTATTATTATTAATAATTATTTTAATTTTAGCTTTTAAGTAATTTATTTTTTATATTTAAAAAAAATTTATTTTTTTATATTATAAAATTTTAATTATTTTATAAAAAGCTTAATATTAAATATTTCTTTATATATAAAAATAATATATTTATTAATAAATTAAAGTATAAAAAATTAATTTAAAAAATTATTAAAATTTTTATTAAAAATAATTTTAAACTTTTTAAAAATTTTTTAAAATAATTTTTTTTTAATTTAATAAATATTATTTAATAATATAATTATATAAATCTTTCTTAAGTATAAAAAATAAATTACTTAAAAAAAAACTAATTATAAAAAAGCTTTTATATATAATTACTTTATTAACTTTTTTAATAATTTTCTTAATTTTTTTACTTAGCTTAAGATTTTTAATACCCTTTAACTAATTTAACTTATACTTTATTTTACTTAGCTTTAGTTTTTTTTTTTTTAAAATTTTTAATTATAAATTTATAATTTTATTAATTATAAATTTAATTATTTACTTAATTATTTTATTATTAAAGTTAAATTATAATTATTACTTAAAAGCTTTTATAATAATTATTTTTTTTAATAAGTAAATATATAATTTTATTAAGTAGTTTTTTATATTATATATATAATTTATTTTTAAAAATTATTATTATTTTTTATAACTTAATAAAATAATTTTATTTAGTTTAATTAAGTTATTAAATTATAAATTATAAACTTAAAGTTAATTATATTATACTTAAACTTTATTATTTAAGCCTTTTTATATATATATATATATTTAAGTTTAATTTTAAACCTTAATTAATAATTATATTTTATAATTTAAATTTTTAAAGTTTAACTTAATTAACTATAATTAATTAAGTTAAGTTATAAATTAATTCTAGATTTTAAATTAAAAACTAAAATATAGCTTTTTTTTAATTTAGTTATTATAACTTTATTAAACTTTTTAATAATAAATATAACTTTTATAATTATATAAATATATAAGTAATTTTATTATTTATATTTTCTTTATATTACTTAATATATTAATTATATATAAAATTATTAAAAAAATATTAATATTTTTTATTTTAAAATAAAATTTATTATTATTTTATATATTTTTTAAAATAATTATTAATATATTAAATTTTATAAATATTTTTAATAAATAAAATTTTTTTAAACTTAAATTAATTATTTAAGTATATAAAATATATTTAAAATTTTATTTAATTTTTATTTTTAAACCTTAAGGTAAAAATTTAAAAATCTTTTTATATATAAAAGTAATTTTACTTTAGCTTTATTTTAATTTTTAATTTTAAAATATTAAAATTAAAAATAAAGTTTTTTTTATTTTTAATAACTTAAGAATATTAAATTAGTTTTTTTTATTATTATATTTTTACTATAATAATAATATATTTTTATAATTTTTTAAATAAAAAAAACTTAAATTAACTTAAGTTAATAAAGTTTTTTTATAATAAAACTTTAACTTTTATAAATATAAGTTTATAATTATAAAAAAATCTTTAATTAATTAATATATATTATATAATTTAATATTATATTTATTATTAAGAGGCTTAGTAAAACTATAATAGCTAGGTTTAAGGAAAGCTATGCCCTAGCTTTTAAAATAATTTATTTATATTAAGAAAATAAAATACTAAGTAAATACTATAATTTTATTTAATAATTATATAATATCCCACTTATAAATAAGTATAAAAATCCTGCCTTGGCACCTTTAATAAAATAGTAATTTTAGACTAAATTACCCCCGCGCTAACTTATAGCGGTTATTACAGCGGGCCTAGCTTACTAAGGGTCCCTTGCGGTTGTACAGTCCCGTGCATCTATGGGGGGCCAGGCTTCTGCACCTCACTCGCTTATCGGCAGGCACTTCAATGGTATTTCTGATTGGCCAACCCGGGAGTTTGAGAATTCTCACGGCGGAAGCTACCCGTTGAGGCTTGGCAAGCGGTTATCGAGCCAAAGCAACGGGGCATATTATGGGCACACAACTGGCAATAACACACACATTTATGTGATAAGGGACTCCTTTCACCTGGTGCCCGTATTACCTCATCACACGCACATGTTTACTTTGCAATTCCTATTTTTTCCCCACCCGACACCCGCTTGCTTACCCAGCTATTCAGCAGCTTATTTCGAAGTGTGTCATTATATCACAAGGCCGGCAAGGCGAAACCACACCAGACATACCGGGCACTATTCTGATGTTGGTGGGCACTAGGCAGAAGAGGATCAGACCTTGCCCGGCCGCTGCTGTTTTATGCTACGCGTAGGCTATTGCAACGGGTAGCAGAGCGGCAAATGAGAAGCTGGTTTTGCCCAACCTGAAAGAGGCTATGAACTATTCCTACGGCAATTGGGCATGGGTAATACATGCTGGTGGCTCTTGGAGTCTTCCTCTGTTTGGACAAAGTGAATGAAAGTACGCAAATCATGAACATCATAATCCCACATCACCGGGCACTTGGGGGGGGGGGGGGGGGGGGGGGGGGGGGGGGGGGGGGGGGGGGGGGGGG